TTTAGGTTTTAGAGATTATGCCAATATAATTTGAGAGTTTTGAAACAAAGAAAAGTATTTTTAATCTTAAAGTGAAAATCACTTTGCACTTAGATTAGTATATAGAAATACTCTATATATTTATGGACAAATCTTTGGTAAAAATACTTCATTAAAAAATGCAATTTTTTGTTTACAAAAGACTTGTAATGTTTACTAAAAGCCTGCCAAATTTTATGAAGATACACAAAGTGTATGAAAGTTAGTGTGGAAAATATAATGAGTACAAAATGGTTACAAGGTCGGTCCAATCAACCTCATTGCAAGAGAGTTAAAAGAGTAATGTATGTGTCAGATTAAGTACTTTATATACTAGTCGCACATTAGATTTAAGTACGTAGAGTTCTGAACGAAGCTGATGGCTGTGTGGGGCATCTCAACAACTGTGAGGTTAAACCCAATACCCACTAAGCAATCTTATAGGAAATGAAAACTTGATTGACTTATCTATTGAAAAATATCAGGTTTAGTGAAGCTTATCAAATTATGCATCAGGAGCAAGCATTAAAAGTGAACAGGGTGAATGGTACTAGGTACAGGGTGAATGATACTGGTACAGGGTGGGTGAATGGTACTGGTACATGGTGAATGAATGGTACAGGTACAGGGTGAATGATACTGGTACTCTCAGCGTCTATAAACAAATGAAGAAATATACACACAAAACATTAACACATAATTACTGCTGTATAAAATGGGGCTCTGGGGGATGACAGATCCATTCTCCAAACACCCTTCTCTTACTCATATGGCAAAGTCATCCAAACTCCTTATTCCTAATTTAATTTTTGCATAATTTAATGAAGTTTAAAACACTTTTCATGCACATATGGTGATGCTATCTATACATCACTACTCCTAGTTTCATTTTTGCATAGTTGAACAAAGTTTAAAAAACTTTTAATGCACATATGGTGATGCTATCTGTACATCACTACTCCTAGTTTCATTTTTGCATAGTTGAACAATGTTTAAAAAACTTTTCATGCACATATGGTGATGCTATCTATACATCACTACTCCTAGTTTCATTTTTGCATAGTTGAACAAAGTTTAAAAAGCTTCCTAAGTACCAACAAAAAGTGTAGTTGGTCTGATAACAAATTGAACAACGTTTTAAGGCTAGCTCAAAAGAATGGAAAATTCTGACTTATTATATAAGGTGAAAATGCATAAAAACCCCCAGGATAAGAAATCCAGTACTAGTTTACAAAAAGACAGAAGATGAGAAAAGAAAACATGCAGTCTTGGTAGCAAAAACTCAAGTACATTGCACTGTGACAGAGAAGGGGGTGAAGTTTGGGTGAAGTTGCAACTCTTTCAAAAATAAATCAATCATGCTGGGATAATTCAAATAAACAACTCAAGCAAGAATAATAACAACAATAAGAAGAACAACTGCTTTACAAAACTTCACATTGAAAAAAAAAAAATTTCAAAGTTGAACATATATATATATATAAAGATTTGAAGGGTGAGTGTTTTGGTTGAATTAGACAGATGGTAATATACAATTTTGTCTTTAATTTATAAATAGCCTATAAACTTGGGCTATGAGGTGACACATCCCTCTTGCAAGAGTCCAAAAATTGGTGAAAAATACAGTATCTCCCCCCTCAAGATGCAATTTTAGGAGGTTTGCTGCAGAAATTAATTGTAACATTAACATGGTGAATTGGATCTGATAAGAAAGAATATATACAGAAACTATACTGCAAAAATACAGACATTTTGGCTACAAAAACAATAAACTGTAAAATTAACAAAGGTAATTACAGGACACCATCTACTGACCATACATGTTATAGATGGTAGAATTTAGCTACTACAATATGAAGTTGTACTCAAATGTAATTTGTGACATTTAAGCAAAATAAAATGTGTTAGTGTTTAAAATAAATTCGTATAAATACATTCTAAACAGACTGAGAACTACAGTCTATTCTAACGTGTTTTGTGAAACAATGTAAGCTATGATATAAAGTAATATTAGTATAGCTTTAGGACAATAACTTACAAAAATACATAGTAATAGTCTGTCAAACAAAAACAACCAATAAAAATAGCTACGAAAATAAAAACAACAACAAAAACGATAAACAAATTCTTTTTTGGGATAAAAATGTTGTTAAAATTTTATGAAACCAACAGGAATAAAATCAGTAAATATACTAAAAGTATATTCTGAAGTTTTTAACAATTTATTAACCAAAACAACATGTGTACTGTATAAGTTAAAATGATAACTCTCTCACAAACTAAATTATATAATAAAACCACCTTATTTATTAAACTAAAGGTTTCTGAAGTCAGATAACAATAATAATAAATATCAATCATTATCTGTCTAAGAATAAAAACTGTTTACCAATCATGTTAATATTATGTAAGTTTATTTAAATATTTCCATGAAAAAATAATTAATTATATATTTCAGCTAGACATATTAGAATAATAAGCTCAAAAGTAAATATCATAACTTTTGGCTAATTTTTTTAAACTTTATCTTGAAGTAAGTATACAGTGGAAACAATACTATAGCCTAAATATTTAAAAAGTTAAAATTTAGAAGAACTCTAAAAAAGGCTTCAGTACAAAGGTATAATAAAGACACAAGAAAATGGTGGAAACCACAAAACCTACTTAATACTAGTTAATGATTAATAAAATTCCTGTGATTTTTTTTCATAATGAAGCCTTATTTACAAAAACTATTTTGTTTATAACAGATATAGTACCTCTTCAGAAACACTCTTGTCTAACTGCCTTAACTGTCCAGCTAGTAACATGGGTTGAATATGACTATTTTGTGGAAGCAAATCTGGAAGCACTCTACTGGATCGATCCGCAAGGTTGGCAATATTTCCTGGAGAACTATGGGATGATTCTAACCTCTGCATGAAACCATGACTAAGCCCTTCACTTGAGAAAGATGTTCTTTGATCAGAATGATCTCTATTGCTCTATAAAAATACATATAATCTTGTAAATTAAAAATTTAATTCTTCTTTTCTCTTCAACTTTATGTCTTAATATTTTTCATATTATTCTTTGGTACACTACTTAACTATTTTATACTATTTCATTGTAATAAAGTGATAACAATTTACAGATAAATATGTAAAATATCATTTAATTCAACTAAAGAGTGAAGCATATACAACTAAAGTATGTTTGAACATCATGAAATCTGGAAGGCATGTGTATCTAAACAACCGTGTGAAGGAAAAAAAAGTATATCATAGACACACACACTCTGTCATGCACTGTTTTACCACCAAGTGGTTGTTCAACTATGCCAGCTACTACACTTCTACTAATTTAGTTATCACTGATTTTGGAATTAGGCTTGTCAGGGTGCTTGCTAGAAAATTTTGTTTTGAATTTCACGCAAAGCTACACGAGGGCTATCTGCATTAGCCGTCCCTAATTTAGCAGTGTAAGACTAGAAGGAAGGCAGCTAGTCATCACCACCCACTGCCAACTCTTGGGCTACTCTTTTACCAACGAAAAGTAGGATTGACCGTCACATTATAATGCCCTCACAGCTGAAAGGGCAAGCATGTTTGGTGTGATGGGGATTCGAACCCGCGACCCTCAGATTGCAAGTCGAGCGCCCTAACCACCTGGCTATGCCGGGCCACTTGCTAGAAAAAGTAGTAACTGTTACATCCACTTTTGTAACACAGCAAAATTAGCTTGGTACACTCTGCAAGTGTAAATTTTGAAATTTTTAACATGCACCCTTCTCCTGCGAGTATCAAGGAAGTGTAAGCATCCAGTATCTTTCTATCAGAACATTTTTCTCCACGTATATTACCCTTTACATAACCTCAAGTTTTAAGATGTTTGAACAACGAATCACCTTGTATACAAATAAATAGTACATGATGTATAGAAAACAAAAATGAATCCATTCAGTACCTTTAAAATTTTTCCATAGAATTTAATGTACAATTTTCAAGCTATGGAACTACAAGTTTTACAAATAACAAAAAATACTTTTATGGTCACTATGCATTTAAACGTATATTAATTGAATGCTTTTGAAAAGATATTCTTTTGTTATGGATCTAGGGAACACAGACCCCTGAATTAACAAAAAAAAATCCCTAGCTGATGGATAAATATAAAAAAATTATCAAATAGTTTTACAAACTGTTTCTTATCAAATCAAATTGCTTTTTTGTTTTTCTTTTAAATAAAGTTCCTATAACACATATATCAGATTTACAATTTTATTTTACAAACGGCTACCCTCGGTGGCAACTAAACTTCTAAACTTAGAAAAGACTTTCTTTCAATTATACACATTAAGTCAGAAGGTAGCAAAAATTCCCATTCAAAGCTTATATTTAATCACTAAACATTTTCGTACTGCCAATTACAGTTCAGTTTTTATATTTAACTAGGGGAAAAACTCATGCTTTGCATATGAAAAATTCTTTTGGTTGTGGTATTTTGTAATTGAATGCACAAAGTTTATAAAATGTAAAGTCAGCTAGGATGTAAGCTATGCTATAAAGTAATTTTAGTATAGCTTCAGGACAATAACTTGCATAAAAACATAGTAATATACTTTATATACTAGTCATATATAATGAAGATTTATAACTGCTGTTCCATTTAATTTGTATGGAAGGTGAAATTCATATAAAAAATTGTTACGAAGGCATACTTTAAACAAAATTGCAATTTTATTACCAAACACAATATTATTTGATAACAGTTTCTAATAACTACCTGATATCATGTAATGAGTTCAAGTGGTAAACAAGCATGTATGCTTTATAAACAACAGGAACATATTACCTTGATAGAGATGGATAAGAGTAAACCTCGTACTCTAAATGATTAACAGTATAAGAAATCTCAAAAATGTTACAAAGTATCTTCAAAAACCTGTCTATGCAAAAAATATTTGATAACAGTAGATACTACAGTAATAACCTTTAATCTCACATAGATGAACCTTATACTGATGCCTAGTTTAAAAATACTTCTGTAAAAAATTAAGGCTGAAAAAAAAAAGTGAAAATGAAAAAAAAAAAACAGAAAAATTAGTCATGAACTACCAATATAAAACACAATTCAGTAATTATTATTGTGAACTGGGTCAGTTTTAGACAACAAAGTAACATGCATTGAACAATATTTATAAATATAATGCATGTATTACATACAAAACCAAAACTTTGATTTCAAAGCTTTAGCCTGCACAAGTTATTTATATACTCATTAAAATAATAAGTGAGCATAGTTCTCCTTTTTTAAATAATGGTTCATTCACATTGTAAATGTTTGTTGACATTTTAACATGGAAGTCAAAGTTAGCCAATTTACTGCATTTTATGTTTGACTACAAAACATAAAATTAGTAGCAATAAAAAGCCTTGATCACTTATGTATAATAGACTCTACAGTTTTGAAATCTACACCATTAAATAAAGTAATAGAATGCAGAAGAACCATGAAGACCGAATAAAAATAAATCTTTTGAAGACAAAACCTTAAAAAATATTTTGTTCTCCATTTCTGTTTCATGTTTGCTCTACACTTAAATTCACAAGTCTTTAATCCCTTGTTGGCATTGTTGAATAAAATTAAGGTGTTAAGGTAAGATAAAAAAACATTAATATGTCCAAAGAATAATTAATACCATGAATTTCAAGACCAAGTCAGTATCTTCCACATAATTGTTTTGTTTGCTCTAGAACAAAGCTACGTAGTGGGTTATCCACATGTAGTTATTTCTCTTTTATATATATATAT